ATCCCGCACGTCGTTCATCTGACGAGGAGTCTGGTTGTTTATGGGGCCACGGAGGAATACTTTTTACTAGTTTTAGCAACGTTCTGGACTGATCTGTCGGACTTTTATGCTGGTTTCGGCTAGTTTTTCTTCACTGTGATTAAGTTTTCCAGCTACTGATCTCGCTTTTCACGCTCCTCACTTCATCTGCATGTTTTGCGTGTTTTTGGCATTCTTCCAATGCAGATGCAAAATGAGGGGTGGCGCTTTCTAGCAGTTACGGTATATACAGTACTTCTGCCAACGGAGATTAAATTCATTTAGAGAACACAATTTATTAATGTTTGAAAGGCTGTGGTCAGTTAATTGAAAGGGAAACATATCAGACTGAAGAAATGGACAGCTGAATTACTTCTTAGTGCCCTTGCAACCTTGCGTGCGCTTCAGCCAGAGGTGTGCGCATAGAGTTTGAGTTTGAGGGATGAAAGAGGTAGGATGGAGAGAGGTATGCCTTTGCTTCTTTTTGCCTCGAATTAAGAAAATGTTTCTTTTTTGCGAGCCACGGAGATGAAAACGGTTAGTTTTTCTTTGGTAAACTCTCCCCCTCCCTGCCCCACCCTCCGCCCTGATCCCCAACTCCTGCTTTTTTTTTTGAATTTCCGGATCCATTGAGGGATTAGGAGTTGAGAGCGAGGGAGGCTGTTGGAGGGAAGGGGATGTGAAGATTCGCCCTCCAATCCCTTTGAAAAAAATAAAAAAAAACTCCTACGTACGCTGCTGTTTGCATGCTGGCGGCTGTGTTGCAGTTTCTATGATGCCATTTTTTTTTTCGTTCTGTATCGATTTGGTCGTGATTCATTTTCTGGATTTGTAGGAAATGTTGGACGTGAGGGGCTTAGGGATATGAGGGAAGGAGGGGGATAGCAGTAATACTGAGGATACTTTGTTTTATGCCTAAGCAGTATGTATTATTTGAATGTATCGGAGGACAGAGGGTGAATGAGTGCGACTACTGCATGCACTCATACAGCTC